GTTTGAGGACACACTGCTCATTTTCTCACTATCACTTGTATTAGTGAAATGATAGTAGTATTAGCAGTTGATATTCTTGTTTCTTTCAGATTCGTAACTTGGAGTTTCTGTTGGCTGATGCCGTAGTGAAAGGCCACAAGTCAGTCGTTACATGTGGGGCTTTCACGTCAAATCATTGTCGTACCACTGCGGTAGCAAGTGCACAGTTGGGCTTAGATGCACACATTTGTATACGGGTAATTTAAAATTATTATTTTTCTTATTTTTAAATTTAGATGTTAATCCATTTGCATATTAAAATGATTCATTTGCATGCCTTGATAAAATGTGTTACTGTGTTTTTTGACAGGGCGGTGGTGAAAAAGTCCCGATGCGTGGAAATTTGATGCTGAGTCGGTTTTCTGGCGCTACGTTGTACAGGCTTCCAGACTCGATCTCAGATTCAGGCTTTTTTGATAAAATGGTGGAACTTTCCAAGAAGTTAGGGTAAGTTACTTAATTAAAACATTAATACATTTCTAGGACTTTATTTGCTCTTAGAAGCACATACAAACTAAAAATTGATTTACTATATTACTAGATCATTAAAATATGCATTTTGATCATAGATGAATCCCAGTCATTTACTTATTTGCACTTACACTACTATAAAATTGCAAATATAGTATTTTTCAGAAATTCTTAGAAAACTGTGATCTTGCTGCCATTTTGGATGTAAAGTAGACTTGATGTGACAGCCAATATTTTCTAGGCAGGCTTGTTGTTAAAGTATTTAGTTTGTCTTGCGTTGAACATACTAATGAAATGTACGACAGACTGAAATGTAATTGTGAGTTAAACTCTCAACAGGACGATTACCGGCGATGAACCATACGTTATTCCAGTTGGTGGTTCCAGTTACCCTGGCCTCTTTGGTTATGTGAATTGTTTTGCAGAAATGATGCAACAGGTATGTTGTTTCGTCTCTATGCTGTTACTTATCAACGGTGTTATTGCAGTTGGACATGCGTCACTCATGGCTAAGACATGGTTGCATTGGAATGTTATATTTGAATCAAAGAAATCTTAGAGTACAAATAAGGAAGACTGTATTTACTAGTTTCATTAAACTTTGATGAGTAGATGGTACCTCAAAGTTATCTATGGAGCAATGATTAATTTATGCAAATTAGGTTAAATTTTTGTGCTTACCCATGTACCAAGTTTCATTAAATCTGATAAGTGGAGATATTAATGGAAAAGTTAAATATTGGCTAATATTCAAATTGGGTAATTAAAATGCACAGGATTTCAACCAAAAACTAATCAGGTCTGAGCATAATCCCAGAGCATCTATGTACAAAGTTTCATTAAAATCTGATGACTGGTTCTTCAGATATCAGTGGAATAGGTGTGCGCACACATGTGCATATATGTGCACACACTAGCCACAGATTTCCATTGTTGAGAGATAATATTCACTAGTTTGGCAAATGCGATCAGATTACAAATAATTTATGTGTACAGACACTGTCTAAATAAGTTTGAACAAAAGCTACTAGTATCCTATGATGCATGTATATATGCACAGATGGAACTCAAACAGCGTGCTCAATTTGTGTGGTGTCTTAGTAACAGTTGACATTTCTTCCTACTTCCAGGGCGTATTAGAAAAATATACAGATATTGTCATAACATGTGGCACGGCCGTAACAACTGGAGCTATCGCCATCTCAAATTATCTCACAGGGTCAAAGTTAAGGTGAGCAATCCAGCAGTCTTAGCATCAATAAAATCCATTTCCAGACAAGTTTTTTTTTCATTTCCATCATTGACAATGGTCATGTACCAAATAGTCAGTCCACATAGACGGCATAGTCTGGTCCACATAATTTCAATAAGTGCATTACTTTTGGGAAAATTGGTCATAAATCGCATGACAATGTTTATTGGTATATTATGTAAAATCAACGACGCCATGAAATAACATTATTTTGTGTTACAGTGACGTATTTTGAGAAACTTGTCCTATCATTTTTAGAACGAAAGTCAATGTCCTCGAATTGCCTGGAAGTACAATTTATTGAAAAATGAATTAATTCTGAGTATTTGTATTCATGAGTCGGCTTCAACCTTTACTGTAATGTTTTCTTTCTTTTATAGGATTCATTCCTTCAGTATAAAACGACCATTGTCGTTCATATATGGCTATGTACAGGAATGCATTGATTTGGCTGGTCTTGATGGCGTCAAGGCGGAAGACCTTGTCTCTGCATGTGTGGATTACATCGGTGAAGGATATGGCAAGAATACAGAACAGGAGCTAGGTGAGATGTTTTATTCTTAAACCAATTGCCCCATTACTTTGGGCATGAAATTATTTAGCACAAGGAATTCCCAGTGGCTATCATATTGCAATACATTTAATAAGAAATGTAATTCAGTATTTACTAAACTTATGCACCGTTTAAAGTCCTAATATAAACCGCGGATTATATTACAATGTATCAATTTAAAAATTGGGATCAAAAGCTCAAGTTCAAGGTGCGGTTTCTATTACGTACATATTGCAATCACTAAATGGGCGTGGTCATTTTTTGTCCACAACACTTGCACAAAACAAACAATACACCGTACAATCTCTTGAATAGGCGTCGGGGAAGAGTGAAAGGCCTTATTTTGGTTCTAAAATAGGCGTTACGAAATGTTACAGTTAGTCAATCAAAAAAACTGTACACATGATTAAAAAAATACTCACTATATTTAATGTAATAATTTTTTTTTTAATTTAACGAAACGTACATTCTAACAGAAGTTTCAAGTAAAAACAAACACGAATGCACTGCTTAGTAGCAAAATGATCACAGAACGGTAGCGCAATCCGGCCATGCTGTGGTTCACAAGTGAATAACTTGTTTTCGAAGTGTTTAAATTGGCAATTATTCATTAGTGATTACAATAACGCATGAAAAATAAATCTGTTAAATTGTTATGAAATGCAAGTAGTTTCACCGTAAACGAATGATTTCAGTCACATGTAAACGGTCGATACGATACCGGCCATGTTTTTGAATGCACACGTGACGTTTTATTGACCGAATGGGTCATTTCACTAATTAACCAATCAAAATGCTGGATGGTGCCCACGTGTCTAAATTGCATAGCTCATTTAAATATGTTAATGAAAGTTCAGCGACCTCATAGTGAACACGGAAGAGATTTCCATGGGAAAACGACATGATTTTTTTTGTAAATCAAGAAATTATTTGTTTTCAAAAGATAAACTGAGCATTGAAGAAGAATTTAACACTTTTACGGTGATAAAAGCTCATTGTCGAAAACTTACGAAACAGACTTATTCAGAAAGAGGTTGCCGCCAGAACAAAAGAAGTTTCACTGCGTGTCTGACATCCTATCACCGCTGAACAATAAATAGGTGTGACTATTTTTAGGCACAATGTCGAAACAAATGAATAGGATGAGGAACAATGCCGTTTTGAACCAGCTGGTTGAAACAATGAAGTCAGTCAAGGTCTTGTTGAATTGGGGGTGCGGTTAGTAATAGGTACTTTTCAAGTTTTCAATTTTTGTTAAGAACTCCTCAACCCTGAAACCGGAATTGGGGGTGCGGGTACTATTACGTATGCGGTTTATATTAGGACTTTAACAGTAGCTTAGGTGGACCCCTCAGTTTGTCAGTGAACAAATCTTCAAATAATTTCTCGGATTGGTTCGATATATCAGCTGGCATACTGTAAACTATTGGAAATTTGTAATTATAATTGGACCGCTTTATTGAAATTTATCCTGTCAAATGAAATTTTTTATCTATTTAAAATGACAGGTGGCTGGCTAAAAGCCAGTGGTAAGCCAAACTGACGCTTGTTATTTCTCACCAATTCAGATTTTATTCGTAATGCTGCCGATACTACTGGAATTGTGTTAGATCCAGTCTACACCGGAAAAGCTGCTCGTGGTGCAGTTGAAGAAATGAAGAACAATCCAGGACGTTTCAAGGGAAAGAAAGTTCTCTTCCTTCACTCTGGTAAGTTTTCTCAGTTTGTGTTTTTCGGTTCGGCTTTTGTGACTCGGATCTCACTTCATTCCTTATAAATGTAATCTGTCAAGGTTTAATTACAAATGGAAATCAATAATTTGCACTTCATTCAAAACTTTGCTTTTGAAAAAAAAAAACATTGCCATTATTGTATACATACTCTTCCATCAATGAAGTGTCTATAGTTAAAATACTAAAAATTTATAACTGTAATTTAAAGAAATATAAAACTTTAAAATAAGTGATCATGAACCTGCATCTTGCAGTAATGGCTGTGATTTTGTACGCACAAGGATGACCAAATCTTGCCATATATTACGTAGGAAAAGTGACCAGACACCAGGCTAATATCTGAATGTGAAAACTAAAGGCCAAGAAGTCACTGTTTGTTTGAAATCAGTCGGGTGATGGGACCAAAAAAAACATGTGATGCATTAAGTCTAAATAATATGTTCCTCTTCCAGGCGGCGTGTTTTCTATTTACACTGATCAACGATTTGATGGAGTTATGACCAAAGAAGGATCTGCTGCCAATAAAGTACACTACTGGTTGGACCTTGAATCTGAACCACCTGTGGGTGTCACTGCAAAAGAACAGTAACAAAATCACCATGCTAAGGATCTGTACAAGAACCTAATTAATCGCATCTAAACATAATCAACATGACTAACGAGAAAATGCAATTAAACATTAATTGCTAAGTATATATATATACCATTTTCATTAGTCTAAGTGAATGACAGTAGAGTGATGAACAGCTAATAAAACTACTTTTCAATTGTTTTTAGTGTTGCCTGTAGAATATAACGATGGGAACAACGCAAGATGTCTCAATTTAGTCAACTGTCGCTTTGGGGGTGGGGTGATAGTGTATCACTGTTTTGGTATGTTTAGGGAGGGGGGAAATAGAAGTGTCTACTTTACATCATCTCATTCTGTTGTTGAATAACTTATTTTGGTCGATGTTGTACTGCACAATTGCTCAAATTCTTGATTTTTATTCCCCAAAGTTATTTTCTGTACCTAAATTTGATCCATGTCAATGCAAGTATTAAATACAACTTGGGGATGTGTTACAAGTGTTTTAGCTTCTCAAGCAATATTGAAATGAATTACTTTTACGGCATGAAAAGTGATGATTTTGTCATGGCATTGCAGACTTAGTTCATAGAAACTGCTTGAGCTGTATAAATACACACGCAAGAACCTTTTGCTCAATCCCTTTTCTCAGGTTTCACTCGTCAGTTTACTTGCAAGGCTGAAGCTATCCGGTTTGGCATATATATTTGCAAACAGTATCGGTATTCAAGTGATATTTGCCTATATCATCTCCCGCACTAATAAATGGATTAGTCATGCAAACTTTAATTCGTTATTCATAACGAGATAAACTGATAATAAATAAATCTTTAAACCATAGTGTTCTGTATTTCAACTGAAAAAGGCTATGATTTTGACATTGGCAGCTGTGATGTGAATAGTCAGTTTACATTTGTTGGTTGTATGTTGCCCCATTTCTGTTTTTTTTTTTTCACCATTGTATCAATGTCTACATTTTCTTCATTCCAGACTAATCTGTATTGTCCATACAGTAATAAATAAAACTGCTTATACTAGTAGTAAGAAAAACTTTCATTTGTGTTCGTTATTGCTGGTTTGTGTGGACAGTGCTTCAATGTATGTAATTGCAGAGCTTGGTGTGTTTGCGGCTGTTCTGTGCTCAGCGTCTTTCAGTTTATTTCAATCATGTATACAAGGCTCTGAAAGTTAACTTGTGTTAAGGTACAGGAGAACAATTGCTTACCATAAATTTGGTGTAACTAAGGTTGTGTGTTTTGCCTAACCTCTTTGGTATAGATGGAAAATGGAACAAAGAAAGTAGTGAATACATGCTGTTTATAACCAAATACTTTTTTAGTGAAAACTTGTCTATCAAATACACTTGGAGCAATGGGTATGAGGAAGTGGTATATTTTCACTGTACAGCTTCATATTCCGCAACTTGACTGGTGAATTTACACTGCCACGTGGCATCAAATGCAGTAAATATGGATTTGAAGGAATTAACCAATTGAATCTTTGCTAATGCATAGAGGTCTATGGTTAATGTGAAGAGTGGTTTAAGCATGTTGACTGCAAACATTGTGTGTGGTTATCGTATTCACTCGGCAGTTGCAAATTTCATGTTACACATGCATACCCCTCCCCCGTGTTAGTGTTCTCAGCAAGTGCCTTGCCACTGTGGGAAGATGCGCTCCTCATCGCATGAGCACGTTCCCACAGTGTCCGGTTAACGCACGAGTCGAATCTCAGACATAAACAAATAACATATATTATAATACGTAATGACATGTGACACTTATTTCAGTATTGGTGGGTACTCAAAACCTGGATCAGCCCCTGCCACTGATCTACTTTTTTTTTCAAAAAAGAACTAATCTAACTTGTCTAAGATGTCTACCTAGTCTAACACTGGGGGTACTCTGAAAAAAGGTGAATGTGCTTCATAACCCATGTCAAAAAGATCTATAGTTTTTTTGGAAAATTGTCTGAAAAAGTGTATTTATTTTTGCATTTTGGCTGTAAGTTGAAAAGTGTATCATTTTCCCAGGGATCAGTTACAAGTTGTGTAGGGTGTGTACAATAACGGTTTACGATCTCTGTCACATTAAGGTAAGAACCTACTCATTATTAAAATACATGTATATACAAGATTAATCAATTTTAAAATAGATTCTACCCCTTGCCAATAAAATGATGTTGACTTTCAACAAAGTTTACACATGGGGTGTATAAATTGTATCGATATTGTACTTGTGGCCAAGGGCGGATACAGGAATTGTATTGGGGGGGTCCCAAAACTAAAAAAAAAAATCGCCAGACTAAGTTAATGACTTTTTTATATTATACAAAAACAAATTGAATATTTTTTTCAAAGGGGGGGGGGTACCCCCCGGACCCCAAGAACCCGCCAATCCC